TTACTACCCATCAATTTCGAAGGATCTATTTACAACTGCCCTGGACTTTGCTGCTGTGTATTCTAACCTGACAAAGGAAGAAAAAGATATAATCCTCAGCGCAAAGAAATCGGTTCTCATTCATAATGGGGACCAATGGATAAAAAACAATAACGACCTGTTTGACATCACTATGGGATTATTAGACTCTGCCGAGTCTTCTGACCTTGTTGGTCTTCTAATACTGTACAACTTAACGGCACACTGCGAAATTGATATTAAGGACATCGGACTGTATAGAGATGACGGGCTCATGGTGGTGAGGAGTTCTACTAGTTTTAAGATTGAAAAAATCAGAAAAATTATATTTAGTGAATTTAAAAAACTAAACTTAAAGATGATTGTCTCTTCTAATTTAAAAAGGGTTAACTTCCTCGACGTAACTCTAGACTTACCATGCAACACATTCCAACCTTATAGTAAACCTAATGCTAACCCTTTATATATACACCCGAAGTCAAACCACCCTCCATCCATAATTAAACATATACCCTCATCAATAGAAAATAGAATTAGCATTAACTCCGCTAACAAGGAAATATTCCAACAACACAATGGCTTCTATAACACTGCCCTAAAAAATAGTGGTTATAAAAAATGCTAACATTAACTATAGAGACAATTGCACTGGCCATAGGAAAAAAAACAGGAGAAGAAAAATCATTTGGTATACCCCTCCGTTCAACCAAATGGTTAGTACTAAACTAGGACAGAAATTCTTAGCCCTAATTGATAAACACTTCCCCACCAATAGTAAGCTTAGTAATATATTCAATAAGAACACCCTAAAATTGAGTTACAGCTGCTCTGAAAATCTTGAACGTATAATAAAAAAAAACACAATAATAAGATCTTGAACAAACCCCCATGCCAAAACAGTATTAATAAAAACTCTGCACTTAAACCAGACGATAAAAGGGAAAAATTATGTAACTGTAGAAACCTAGAAGACTGCCCATTAGAAAATAAATGTTGTATTAATTCTGTGGTATACCAATGTACTATATCATCCACTGAGAGCCCTAGCACTAATAAGATATACATTGGGTCCACGAAGAATGATTTTAAAGATAGATGGAGGCAGCATAAGTGCTCTTTCAATAATATAAACAAAAGAAATCAGACTTCCCTATCTAAATATTTTGGCATCTGAAGGAAACAAATAGGACACCCAAAGTTAAATGGAAAATTATAAACAAAGGCTAGAACATGTAAAACTTGGGATGACCCATGCCCTTTATGCCTCCATGAGAAATTGCACATAATTAAGCTTCTAAATAATAATAATCTATTAAACAATAGACACGAGTTAACGGTTTTTTGTAGGCATCATCAGATTTTTGGTTTGAATTATTAGCTAAAAAAATAGCATACAATATAATAACTTGTTTAATCCATAGCCACTCATCAGATTCATGGTTTGAATAATTAACTAAAACATGCATACAATATAACACCCTTCATAATCCATAGCCCAAATAAATAGTTTAAATACCTAAAAAAGATAACCCTTTATGAAGTCGTCAAAAAACAAACGTTACGACAGTTTTTTTATATACAAAATCCCTTTCATAAAAAAAATAAAATAAAAAAAAAATAAATAAATCTCCATAGACATGCAAACTAGACGAGGGTTAATACATCTTCCGTTTCAAATTTAGACACCCCCACCTTTCCCTGACTTGATATTTACGAAAGTAACTCTATACTGATACTTATTAATAACACCCAACACCCGCCTTACCCAACTTAAACAATTCGCCCTAGCTGTTACCATGGAAATTTTGATTTCAATTTTTAAAACACGTAAATTTCAGAAACACGTTATTCCAAAAAAAATTTCGCTTGAAGATGGAACAGAGCTTATTTTAACTCAATTTAATTTAAATAATTATATTGAAGTTTTCGGCTCTTGTTTTGAAACATGGGACTTCTTATGTCGCGATTTGGAATCATATTTTTAAATAAATAATTATATATATATATACATAGCAGGATTATTCCAATCCGTATGTTGCCAATATTTTCTATTTTCTTTTCAGCGTTCTTTCCTGATCATATTTTCTTGATATTAATCGTCTCTTTAGTTTATTTCATTCGCAATTTCCTTTTCTTGTTTTCTTCTTCATTCTCTTTTTCCATCTCGTCCACTTTTTCAATTCTGTCACATCTTCATCTTCCTCCATTTTTATTTTTATTCATCTTTTATTCCGCTCCAAGATTTTTTTTTTCTTTTTGCCTTTCATTTTCTCATTTGGAAATTTCATTTTTTCCTGATATAGTTATCCACTATTTCTTTTTACCTCTGAATAATTCTTTCTTTTCTCCCCGCTTCTCATTAAATCCTTCAACAACAAAGACTGTCTCAGCAGACAGACAGACACCGTTTTTTTATTCTCCAATTTCACTGTCAACCACAATTAAATCACCGAAATTAGTCGTAATTGTATCTAACTTTTAATGGCAACCATTTTCGAAATATGGCCGACAATATCTATGACCATATATGGACATACTTCACAATGGCTTCTTCATGAAAAGTAAAAATAACTGTTATAATCCCAATTTTATACGTTAAAAGGTTAAACCTGGTACCTTTCGGCATTTCAGGGAATGCTAATGAAACTGAATTTGAAAGAAAAAAGTAGTATAAAAGGACTTCATATGTGCCGGTATCATTTTTACGGTTCTTTTGTCGTTTTTTATGTAGTATATATATATATATATATATATATATATATATATATATATATGTATAAAAATTCTCCGATTTAATCGGTAGAAGACAATATTTATGAATAAAAATGACAATAGGAAAACTAAATTAATGACGCGTTTCGTCCAATGTGGACTTTATCAAGGCAAATATACTAAAATGAAATTAAATGAACAAAAATAACTAATAAAAACAAAACAGAATGTACCTAAAACTGGAATGTAGAAAATGGTATTTTCATATTTCTTAACTGAAAAAATAACGTCAGATATTGTCCACACGAGAGAATATTGTCACGTTATTTTTTTTCAGTTAAGTAATTCAAAATTTTCTTTCTATTTTCCAATCTTAGGTAAATTCTGTTTTTGTTTTTAAATATTACAACAGATTCATTTAATTTTATTTTTGTATTTTGCTTTTGATAAAGTCCATATTGACGAAACGCGTCAGCAATTACCAGTTTTCCTATTGTCATTTTTATTCATATATATATATATATATATATATATATGTATATATATATGTATGTATGCATATATATGTATGTATGTATATATATATGTGTTTGTATATATATATATATATATATATATATATATATGTTTATATATATATATATATATGTTTGTATATATATATATATGTGTGTGTTTGTATATATATATATATATATATATATATTTATACACATACACACAAAAGAGATTTGTATCCAAAGAAATAAAACATAAATTTGAACCAAACAAACGTTATATTGTACCTAAGGCACCTTTCGACAAACACTTTTCAAAGGTCTGTGTTGGCAAATTGGAAAACAATCAAAGACACAACCGTAATCACGAAATAATTAAAAAAATTCAAAAAGGGGGAAAAACAAGTTCCACAAGACTATAAAAGTGGAAAAAGACACACACCGTTCCTTCCAACAACCGTAAGGAGCTCATAAAATACTTCTTTTGTATACATATGGCTCGGCTGATGAAATTTTATGAATACAGCCTCGAGAACTCGATGATATACCGAGCAAGCAGTGTGTAGAGGTGAAAACCATGTCTTCATAGTCGGCGACACAGTCCGGGCTGTCGAGTAAATGCTGTCCAGTAGTCGAATCGTGGACTGCTTGAGTAGTTCTTAATGACCGGCTTCGACTATGATGTAGTGGAATAACCAGTCACCCCCATGAATGATTACACTATAGGTAGCAAGTATCTATAAAGTCAACCGTCTACAAGAGACTCAGAGAAGGACAGAGTAATAGAGACGACACAAGCATGTCCGACCTTCCAATTAGTGGCACTCACTACTAGATTGCCCTGTGTGTATAACTGTATCGTATTTCATATTGTACTTGTTGTGTATAATAAACCTTTCTTCTGGTGTCCACCTGGTGTCTATTCCCTAAGCATAGAATATAACAGACTACTTGAATGCAAATAGGCGGGGAACATGCTGCGAAATCCGCGTCTGCTTCCTCAGATTGGTTCGTCTTAAGTACGACGCTTCATATCGGCATTTAAATTTGTAGACAACTAAATTTTTATGAAAATACGACAAACGATTCTTACTAAAAGAAGGGAACACATATATATATATAGTCATCCATATTTTACATATATAGTTTTACATATATACAGTGCGTTCTGCTTGAATATGCAAAGTAAATTTTTCATCTAACGTGTCAATAAATTCTGTTTTTTCAGACTTGGTGCTTCTTGCAGATTAAATTATACTTTCAGTCAAGAGAATATGGTCAATGAAAAAAAAGTTGCATAGTAACATAGTTCTATTTCTCAAAGTATGTAAAAAGGCACAGTTTCAAGTGTTCGGTCTGATGAAGCAATCACCATATAAATCCTTAATATGGGTAAGAAAAAGGGTCTTACTGAAAACGATCATGCTGAAATTACTCGCATGCTTAGAAGTGGTCTGTCAACGCTAGAAATTTCAAAAAAGTTCCATAAAGGCCACCGTACAATCAAAGCATTCATCTTAGGCAATAAATCATGCAGAAAGACACCTAAACGATCGCATTTGCGAAAGTTAACTGCCAGAGATCATCGTAAAATTAAATATGAAGTCTCGAAGAAACCGCATGAAACTAGTAAAAAAATATTTGAAAGCGCTGGAGTGCCCAAAGTTGGTAAAACTACCCGTTGTGAGGTCCTGAAGACCCTTGCCAAAGTGAAGAGTCCCATCAAGAGGCCCCCATTGAGCAAAGCAAACAAGATGAAAAGAGTTGAATGGGCACACAGTTACATGAAGATCAATTTTAGCAATGTGATTTTCGCCGACGAGTGTCGTGCTACCCTTGATGGGCCTGATGAGTGGTCATCTGGATGGGTGTTAAATGGTCGACCAGCAGGAATACACATTCGTCGACAACAGGGTGGCGGAGGAGTGATGTTTTGGGCTGGGATCCGCGGAAATGAACTAATAGGCCCACACAAAGTACCTAAAGGGCTTAAGCTAAATTCAAATGCATATTGTAGGCTTTTGGAAGATGCCTTCCTGCCCTGGCTTGATGAACAACCAATTCAGAAAAAAGATCGTTGATATTTCAGCCGGATGATGCTCCAGCGCATAGATCAAGAAGCACCACCAATTAGCTATCAGACTATGGGTTCAAAGGGCAAAATTTAATGGTATGGCCTCCAAACAGCCCTGATTTAAATCCAATAGAAAATGTGTGGTCCATAGTCAAGAGGCGGATTAATGCTAAAAACAAGCAATTCACCAGCTTAGAAGTCCTGTGGAAAGCAATTGTAAATGCTTACCAATCAATCAAACCTTCTGAAATTGAAACATTAACGTCAGCAGCGGACAGACGCCTCATAACGGTTTCGAAGAATGGAGGAGGTCATGTTTGTTCGTAGCCGCATTAACAGACTTGTTTTGTTTTGTTTAACATGCTATACATATGTATTATGTAATGTAGGACTTAGAACACACGATGTATTGTCATATGCGCCACAATTCAATTAATAAAATTTCGTATAAAATGTGTTTTTCTTGTTTTATTTTCCATTTGCATAATGAAAGTGAACACTAAATTAGGGCTTAAGTTAATAAATCATTAAAAAGAAGCCATTTTTGTATATTTACACAACTTAAATGATTGACAAAATAATAAAATAGTATCAACAACACTTTAGCTTTTATTCTTCAGAATATATTGCTTAACTTGGATATTTTTAGGTAAAAAATAACTTTTCATAATAAAGCAGAACGCACTGTATAGTCATCCACTGTTTCGCCGTATCAAAGCTCATCAGTGCGACTAGACATCTGATTGCTTCAAGACAGGATCGAAACACGATCGATTTGGCATCAGTCAGAGTTCATATTCCTAAGCTATCGGCGCACGGCAGAGAAAGGGAAATTTTAACGTATTATATAGGGATGGATACAAACAGAGGGCTCATTTTATTAATGAAGAGCGATGCGGTAATAGCTGTGTCTATTACATATTCACTTGTATTGATATGAGTTTGTGATCTTGGAAGGAACATCGCTACATATAATAAAAGCTACGGTCCCGACACCGAAATAGAATTACGCCTGCGTATGTATGTATGCTCGAAGGCCTGAATGTGTATCTGCGTCTAGCCTCGGATTGTTTATATGTGTTTGTGTGAACTAAAATGCGTACACCTGTATTTATGTGTGTCTGTGTGCATAAGAGTGCTTTCCCAAACAAACAGAAGAAAATTATTCCTCCCACCACCAAACATAGTCAAAAAATAAACCAGTTTGTCTGATGATCGCAAAAGCGTGAAACCCAGGATCGCAAACTCATATCCATACAACAGAATATGTTAGCTCTATCACTGATATTGAACTCTTTCCACAAAGTACTGCGCATATAAAATAATATATATATATATATATATATATCAATGTGTGTGTGTGTGTGTGTGTGTGTGTGTGTGTGTGTGTGCAGATATGTAGAAAAATAGGAAAGAACACATTAGGTAAATAATCCGGAGTTCTTTAGTATTTTTGTTTTTATTTTTAAAAAACAGTGCTCTGTACAGAAGTAGAGCTTAAATTATAATTATTTTTGAAAAAATATGATTCCTTCGCTACATAAGAGTTCTCACGTTTCAAACGATTTTTATTAAGATTAAATTCCTAAATTTTCGCCTGACGATGAAACAGGGCGTGATACTTTAACTCAATTTAATTTTAATAATTAAATTGAGGTTTTCAGCTCACGTTTTTGAAACATGAGAACTCTTATGTAGCGAAGGAATCATATTTAAAAAATGATTATATATATATATATATATATATATATATATATATATATATATATATATATATATAATCGAGGAATCTAAATGAAATAATAATAAAAAAAATCTACAACCCAGTGTGTCTGAAGATTTTAATTTTTTAATATTTTTATTGTTCAATATATATATATATATATATATATATATATATATATATATATATTTGTTTACTGTACTGTCCAGTTCGCACTCTCCATTTCATTTAAGGGCACTTGAGTCTCTGTATATTCGGTCCAGGGAGCCGTCTCTTTTTGGACCGAATATACAGAGACTCAAGTGAAATGGAGAGTGCGAACTGGACAGTACAGTAAACCAATTCGGACTGAAGTTCTTCGCACAATCCCTGCAATTTATTAAATGTTCAGTGATCGCTGACCCGGAAGTATTAACCAACTGGCTCTTACGAGCATCCGGATTAAGAACTCGCAATGGGACGTGCTGCCTGATCCT